AGGGTAGGATGTAGCAGAGAAGTTCACATCTGCCTTTTTTTGTGCTGCTTCTGGTTTATCGATCTGTGCAGTCAGCTCTGTGATACAAGACTGTTGGTCTTTTACAGGAAGCAGGGCCGCCGTCAGGGGGGTACGGCCGATACTCATATCAGGGGCCCGGGGCAGCCTCCAGGGCCCGCCCGGGACCGTTACATGAGTATCGGCCGACGGTGAAGGGCGAGGAGGTGGCCGGGCCCCCGCAGCAGCGGTGGAGGCCTGGCTCTAGCAGCACGGGGCCCCATCAGTGCCGCTCCAGTGGCTTCGAGACAAGCTGGGGCCCCATCAGCGACGCTGCTCTGAAGGCTGATAGGCGGAAGTGACGCCACGTTATAGACACTCACGTGTGTGAGAACAATCAGGGAATCACCAGCACTCAAAAGATGGTGCTCGCAGTGATATTGGTTCACGGATGGCGCCAGGGAATCACCAGCACTCAATGATGAAAGCAAAATATGTCCCTTTAATGGACAGAAGCGTCATAAAATTCAAAGAAACCTTAGGCAGAAGTGTATTAGGCTACATTCACGCCTCTATCTTTAGGTGCATTTGTGGATTTCTGCATCAGGAACTTGCGTTTTCCTGCAGCAGAAATCCCTGAATTGGCGTTTACAAGTGGCAGCTGTCACCTAAGTTAATGATCAGGTGACAGCAGTTGCATGTAAACGCCTGCACACCGCATGTAATGATACATGATATGATTACATTCGGTTAGGAATCAATCACTCTCCCTGGACGCAATGATTGTGCATTCAGGGAGAGTTTTCTAACCGCATGTAATCATATCACATATCATTACATGCAGTGTGCAGGCGTTTACATGGAGCTGCTGTCACCTGATCATTAACTTGAATAGGTGACAACTGGCACTTGTAAACACCAGATTAAGGATTCCTGATGCAGTAAAACGCAAGTTTCTGATGCAGGAATCCCTAATCGCACCTAAACCTACAGATATGAAAGGGGCCTCCTTGTGAGTGTATATTGGTGTCTGTAGTACCAAACCGGATACAGTTATATTTTATCTTAAAGTATAAAATTTGGCAAGCAGCTCCCAAGAGAGAAAAAATGTGTCGAGTGGCCCAAGACGAAAGAGGCGGGGGGCGAAGACGGAGCTCCAGTCGGGCGGCCGTGTTCCAAAGAGGTCAGGCCGTGCAAGGTAAGAGGACTGTGCTGGCAGAGCCCACGAAAGAGTCTCAGGTGGGCTGTGCAATACCCTTTGGTGGGCTCTGCAGGATCCGTAGAGATCTCTGCAATCTGCAAAGCCCACCACAGATCCTGCACAACCCCCCTGAGATGCTGCAGGATGTGTGGGGCTTTGTTGGGTCTCAGGGGGCTTTGCCGGGTCTCAGGGGGGATTTGCAGGATTCATAGCAGGCTCTGCAGCCTCCAAAGCCCACCACAGATCCTGCACAACCCCCCTGAGATGCTGCAGGATGTGTGGGGCTTTGTTGGGTCTCAGGGGGCTTTGCCGGGTCTCAGGGGGGATTTGCAGGATTCATAGCAGGCTCTGCAGCCTCCAAAGCCCACCACAGATCCTGCACAACCCCCCTGAGATGCTGCAGGATGTGTGGGGCTTTGTTGGGTCTCAGGGGGCTTTGCCGGGTCTCAGGGGGGATTTGCAGGATTCATAGCAGGCTCTGCAGCCTCCAAAGCCCACCACAGATCCTGCAGAGCCCCCTTGGTGGGGAGGGACAGGGCGGGGGGGGCCCCGGCCTTAGGCTGTGTAAGGGGCCCTGACATTTCTGAAGGCTGTCCTGACAGGAAGACAAAAGAAGCGAGACTCTGGTAGGGCAGGGGAGGCCAGCTTCCACTTCACTGAAAAGGGGTGATTAAGGTATACGAGCCCCACTGTATGGGGGTACTAAGGGTGGAGTAATACAACTAGTTGGAACAGTTGTTCATCGATCTCAAGCTACTTGCCTTTCAACTGTATTTGCTGTGATTCCAGGCTTCCTGGAGGAGGTGGGCAGCACCCAGTAAGGTCTCGTTCACACCTAGACGCGCAATGCCTATCGCGCATTTTACCGCGATTCGCGGTAAAAAAAAGTTGTGTGACAAACGCGCGTTTCCAAAGGCTACTTGGTTGTATCCCAATGGAAACGCGCAACAAAACGGCCCAAAGTAGTACATGTACCTTTTCAGGCGTGGGCCGTTTTGTAGCGCGTTAGGGACGGGTGGAAATACGCCAAGGTGGGAACGAGACCATTGAATACAATGGGATTTATATTTTTGAGCGTTTTGTAGAGCGTTCGTCGAGCGTAGAACGCGCTACAAAACGTTCAGGTGTGAACAAGGGTAAGTCATGTAAAAGGATGGGGCACCTCTGCAGTCACCCAGATCGCTTTTACTAAAATGCCTTTAGCCTGCTGGAGAAAAACATAAACCAAGGAAACCCCAAAAACCATTAAGCTCAATCCTACTCCTTGTGTACAGTATTTGAGGTTCTACACTGCCCATCAACCTTACGAATATCGGATGAAAACGCAATCGCACACGAAAATCGGCTGATATTTCGAAGGTGTATGGGCACCTTTCTACCCCTTAAAGGAGGACTTTGTTAAAAAATGGTGTTCCCGTTCTGTAAATCTGGCAGTATGCGGTTTTATCAAAGTGTTGACCATCCCAGTGGATGATGCGCCAGCTTTTAACCGCTTCAGGATCCTGCATGTATGTCCTACATCCAGCCCTGAAGTGGTCGAGATATGGCATGCTTACGTCAAGCTGAGGAAAGGCTAATCCAGATAGCTACATTTAGAAACCAGCTCAGCAGCAAGTAACGGGAATCTTAAAGAAAGAAAATTAGTAGCAGGCAAAATGGTTAAACTCTCCTCAGCGGCACAAAGACATCAATCCTCCTAGGGTACGACTATAGCAAGGTACGCTGGGAATAGGTGGCAGTATAACCAGACAGTCACTGAACACCTATGGCCCTCAATGAGCAAGAAAGAAAAGTTTGTTGTGATCAGTCACACCCAATTGGATCACTGTGCATCATGCAAGATTAATCTCAACTTCATGCTACTTGTGCAACATCCACTATAGGTAGGCATATGCGCAATATACTGTACAGACATTACTTTGAAATAGATTTGAAGAAATTGAAAGCAAATGCTGCTAACCTGACCCTCAAGCTGGCTGGTCATACACAGGATAAGATTCCAGCCATTGCAACCAGCTTGCTATTTTAAAGAATCAATTGAACAGATCAAGGCAACCTACCATTAACAGTTTCAATATTATATATGGTGGAGATGATGGAAGAGTTTCCTGTGCCTGTGGCCAATTTCAGTGATAGCACGTCGGTTTTTCTTTAAACCAGATCAATATGCAGTGGATCATTACATTTTTTATTTTTTTTAGTTAAGCCTGTAAATTGGCAAAGTGTCAATGTGAATATACACAAAGCAAAATACCACAGCTGATCTCTCTTGAACATGCATTACCTGGCTGTCATGCCATTCAGGTTTCATTACGTCCCAAATTGTTGGCCCAAATTAAAGCGAAGCTAAAGTTCTGCTGTAAAGAGCTAAAGTTCTTTGGCAAAAGACTTTTCCTATGTATAGTAGCCGAAAAAGAACATTGTAAAAGGCCTGGAAGAAGCAGCCGGGTGATGGTGGTGGACAGAGTGGTGACAGAAGCTTAGACCTGTCACCGCTAGAAGTGGACACAAGTATCTTGTTCACACTTGCACATTATGGGGAGTCAATATAGGTCTTCTTTAATGAATATAAATTCAATTTTCAAAAGCATTGTTACATCAAATTAACCACAGTAAATGTTTACACAGCAATGCAAGGAACACATATTCTAGATGACAAAATGTAAAACCACAGACTACTTCATTAAGGTTTTCTTTTATTTAAAAGATCTTCCACAAAATACCATGTCCATATATGTACTTTCTGTCATGAAGCAGAATGTGTAGAGTGTTTGGAATTGTCATTTAAAAAAAGTCAAAATGTATAGACCAGTTGTGAAGTTGACGGTTTGTTCTGTCTTAAGCTTTCCCACACAGCAGATGGAAATAAATCTAGATCAAATCTGAAGGGATGGTTCCTATAATACCAGATCAAAGCATGTCTTATTTTTTTTATACTAGTGTTAGACAAATGGTTCTTATCAGCACTGAGCATGTATTGAGGAAAAGAAAAGAGAGTGAAAAGAAAAAGGTTTGCTGAGACACTGGGAGGTAAAACATCTTTAATTGCCTTCTTATTTTAATACTGGTTTCGACTGACTGCCAGTGATCTGCAAGTCACTGTTCCAGCTGCCAGTGAAAAGAACCTATGTATTTAAAATATGCGAACCTAAAGCTCTGCCACAATTTCTAAATGGATATTAGGAAGCTATGAAAGGAACAAATTTGGTAAGAAACTGCTCTCAAGCCTTGCTCATACAGGCACTGGAAGCAGAAGCATGCACAACTTCAGGTAACAATTTCACCTGGCCTTTAAGCACTCCACAGCATTGGAAGGATGAAAGCCATTGGGTCGTCATCATACAGTTCAGGCATTGCAGGCAACATTCTTAGCAGCATGACACAGTGTAAAGCAAAAGATTTTGACTATTCATGTACCTGAGCTGACCCTTTCACCCCCTGAAGTCAGGAGGTGCTTTGCAGGCGCTAAAAAAAAAAACAACTCATGCTCTATGCCCCTTTTAAAGCAGAGCTAAACCCATTAAAACAAAACCATTGGAAGCCCCTGTTGCTGCCCTTCACAAAAACAGCCAGCAAGACCCTTAAATTTGAACTTGTTGGCTTCCTCAATGTAATGCTGCTTCCTCAAAAGGGTAGTGATCCCAGCACTGACCAAAACTAAACCAGACCGAATCATGAGGCAACAGAAGGCTGGTACACAGAGGGAGTCCAGGCCTGTCAGTCACCAGAGTGTTCCTGGCTGTTGTGGGTACAGGACAACAAGAGGGAAGAAGAAAATTTGTCATGACCAATTGAGCTCATGTCCACCTTAAAGTTTGTACAAACAAGAGCACACACAACAAGGGTACAATTTGCATAATGCTATGGAAGTTGCCCAAACAGAACTAAAACAAATGCTTAAGTAGATCTGGTGTAAAGCAGACACCGAAAAAGTAATCAAGAAGACCTGGAAATGTGCTGCATTCATTTCAGAGGAAGAGTGACCAACTGCACAAAAAACAAACAAACTTATACTTAAGGCTGAATTCAATTCATCATTTGAAGAGCTATACTTAAAAAAAACAAAAAAAAAACAACAACTTTATTTTTGTATGTTCGAAAGTTTTAAGTAGCAGCAACATAAAATATTTCATATGAAAAATTTTAGTGTGAGTTTCCTTTCACAACTCTTACCCAATCCACAAATTGCCTTTGTTGATTTTATACATAATTTGCACAATACAACACGGTGTCCATTTCATTGCGAGACACATTTCAGAGTAAATTAGACACATGTGAAAAGTTAAGCCATATATAAGTAAACTCTATTTATCAAGCTAAATGAAAATAAAACAAGATATTTAGACAAATCTTCTCCACATGGAAAAGTGTATAGTACACTGTGTACAGAGTAATAGGGAGGTGTTTGTGGTAAAGGCTTAAAGCCAAAAAACCCTAGCCATGTCAAGTTTAAAAGATACCAGGTGGTGGGCTCTTTAATCCCTGGCACATAAACATACCAGGTTCTACCATTTCACAGAGTCTTGGCAATACAGAACGAAACATGCAGGTTAGAAGTAAAGCAAAGCACTAAGTAATTCAGGGGCAGCAAATTCAAGTGTTGGCATAATAACACATGTGCCCCCAAATTAAACAGAAAAGGAAGATGTACTGAGGAAACTGTAGTTCATCAAGTCCAAAATGAATTTCATTTTTCATAGGAATCCTTCCCTGCAGGATGGAATCCTGCAGACAGCAAGAGGAATAGGAGGTGGAAACAGCACAATGCAGGTACTAAATACAGAAAAGCAGAGAACATACTAAAAACCACTTGTTAACAGCTGACATGCATTCACAAGCTCAGTGTTCAGTTTCAGACAGGAGGGTAATGAGGAACGAACGTCAGGAGGCAGGAATGGTAACTGCGGGGTTGATGATCCAGAGTGACCAGCTTACTCTCTCCTCTGTTCCTCCCAACCTTTAGCTCAATCTTTTTCCTTTTCTGCAGATTCTCTGGGTTTAGCGCCACCAAAGATTGCAGAGTTTGGATTGGCTACTTGATTGAGGGGAGTTCCAACCGTCCTTGGTTTAAGTTGAAGTCGTGGCCTCTGTGCCCTCTCTTCTGCAAGAATAAAAAACAAGAAAATAAGTCACAGCACTACAAACAGCTCAATTGCATGACCTTTGAGTAGCTTTTAAAAAGACAACCTTTTCTATAGGGTAGAATCACATTTGCCTAAACTTTAGCAGTACTGGATCATAGACTAATCTGAAATACTGTACCCTCAGCTTCACATACTTTTTCTTTTTTTAACCAGGAAGTGTGAAAATGCAGCATGCTGTACTAACGTTGTACTGAACGCAATGGTGTGGAATTACTGTGTATGCATTTTTGGTCCAGATATACATTCTGGTCTGGATCTGGTGTGAACAAGCCCTGAATCCACAATGCACTCTGCATGTTGTATGCCATTCATAAAATAGTGTAGGGGGGCCTGCAGTGTCTGTCAAGAGTAGAACGCCTATAGCTGGAGAGGCTGGTCTTGTGAACGGGCTCTCCTCCTGGCATTTTCCGTGCCATTTATAAAATGCAGGTTGCAGTGAGTGTCACAATTATTATGTGCATAATTCTGCACATAACACCGTGTGACAGGGGGAGAGGCTGGTCACATGACCAACAGATTGTTCTCCATGTATTATTTGAAGGAAGGATTTATTTACTTCTGAAACAAGCAAAACACTATGCTCATTTATAAGGCACATACAAGCCATTAACTAATAATTACTAATTATAATTAACTAATTAGCTAAAACAAACAATATTATGGATACAGCAATACCATGCTGCTGCTTTATAAATGGATCGCTTAGTAAGACCACAGTAGTTAAATTAAAAATATCTTTCCAACCATCTGAGGGTTCTCTGAAGTCCGTGGCACCACCACGTGGTGGTGGTGGTCCCTCTCTGAAACGGCCAGGTCCTGAAGGTGGAGGCCCTCGTCTGTCACCTGGCCCACCAGGCCCACCGCGACCTCCTCTGCCTCTGCCTCCTAAAAAGTCATCATCCCTAAAGCCTAAACCAAAAAGAAGAACACAAGAAATCAATTTATAACCCTTTGGAGCTTCACGACTCAATCTGGACACCGGCATGTAGAATACATATTAAATTACTGCTGTCACAGGAAAATAAAACTTCTGTAAGGTTTTTTTTGTCGTCATACATACAAAGCTTTTGCATTCAAAATGTCCAGAATGAAGGCATTGTTTACTGTTACAAATCAGTTAGGGCAGTAAGTACTACACACACACAAAAAAAAGGTTTTATTCTAGCAAGCTTTCACCAAAGAATGGATCAAATTGCAATAAACATAACCTCAATTTATATTGCTGGCTAAATGTGAAGGTAGTAGAGAAGAAAAACAAAACCGGTATATACAACCTCCAGTTTAAAGCTGAACTCCAGGATAATAACAAAACATTTTTTTTGCAGATAAGGTTTTGTTGATTTTAAATGCAACTAGTATAAATATCTGAAATCAACCTGATGTCAGCCTCTTTGTAATCCCCTGTACAGCAACAAATCGACAAAGCAGTAGGGGGTGACGCTTGGGGTCAAAGAGGTGCCTTGCATTCACATAAGCTGACCAGCAACATACTGAGAAGAAGGGAGAATGAATCATGAGTTTGCTGCTGCTGCTCAATTGTCCAATTGAAGGTGGCCTAGTTGTGTTGCTTAACAGCAATAAAGAAAATTTAGATCACCAGGTCGGCTGAATTATCTGGCAGGGCTGTGTATGAATGGAACTGCATATCCTTTGGCAGGTAAAACTCCCACACATCTATTTCAACTGCTTATTTAGGGATCTGGAGTTTTGGTTTAACCCCTTCATGACTGAGGCCTTTTTTTCATTTTTTGCACCCATGTTATATTATGTTTTTATGTTGCGCAATATTAGCGCAACTCCTTATTAAACCCCAACATTTAGTGAAAAATGTAATGCCTCAAAAAAACACAACAAAATACCCATTTTTGTAATGAAATATAAAAGATGAGGTTACAACGAGTAAAATGATACCCAACATGCCCAGGTTACAAATTGCGTGCGTCCGTGAAACGGCGAAAAACTGCAGTACCCCAAAAAGTCCATAGAAGATGCTTTAAAAGCTCCCACAGGTCATCAATTTAGAGATACCCCAAAATACTGGCCCTAGAATTATTGCTCTCACTCCGGCGTGCGCGGCGATACCCAACATGTGTAGCGCGCTCGTCGTTTTCATACGTAGGCGTACCCGACGCGTGTTTACGTGGCGGCGCGCGTGCTCACGGGGGCAGGGGACTTTAAAAAATTTTTATTATTAGATTAATTTTATTTAAAAAACTTTTTTTTTTTAACTTTACTGTGACTGCTATCACATAGGTGGGCTTACAAGCCCCCCCATGTGATAGCAGATGGTGGTGACAGGTACTCTTTAAGGTGATGCTGGGGTTCCAAAAGACCCCCAGTGTCACCTTTACACTGGAAATAAGCTATTGAAGTGCAGATCGCACTTCAATAGCTTATAGCTGGGCTGCAGGAGCCCAGAACTGACAGCCCAGGGACCGGAAGTGATGCAATCTGCATCGCTCCAGGTCCCATAGAATGGGGAGGGGATCGATGAACGGAAGTTCGTCGATCTCCTCTCCAGCTCCCCGCCGACACGAAGGAGGCCGGTCCCGTAGGAGGAGCAACGGAGCACGGGAAGCACGGCGGCGGTGTCCGTCGGGGGTGGTGGCCCCTTCTACGGGACACAGAAGCGATCTGGCGGCAGGTAAGTCGCCAGAATCGCTTCTGTTGTAAAGCCGACAGTCTGCTTTACAAGTTTAAACAGAGTCCCGGAGGCAGTCTGTTTAAACAGCGCCGATGCCGACGACGTACACTGTACGTCATCGGTCACGAAGGGGTTAAAACAACACTGCAGACAAAACTAAACCAACTATAGAAGATAGGGTGTTCACAGCTTATGCTTTCAGTTGACTACTGCTGCATACAGCCTCTTCCCAAAAGCGGCAGTTTACCATTTTCCCGATAGTGGAGATTAGGCATCTTTCAAAACACTACAAAAATACCATGAAAGTAAATTAGGGATAAGAAAACTGAGATGGACAGATCTGGACCTGATCCAAGTCTGCTTAAACTTCCAAAACAATCCATAAAACTTGAGCAAAAAAAAAAGAAAAAAAAAAAAAGATTTTCCCTGCAGTACTTTCTACCACTAGATGTCCTCTAGATGGCCAGCATCAGTCAACACAATTCCCCTGAACCCAGGTAGTCCTGGACCTGACCCAGCCTGCTATTGAGCTCCGTATACTACTCAATAACGCATGAACCAATTGGCTCCTTGTTTTGCGTCAAAGGCTGGCTATCCACTTATAGATTATCTGCAGATTTTCTGTGGTCAGATGGAAAAAGTGCAACAGATTCCTCCATCTACGCTAAACTGTATGGATGGAGGATTCTCCCTCTGGGCCAAGCTTCAGTATGCTGCTAGTTGGCCCCGCTGGCTCTCAAAATACCGGAACAATCTGACTGGATGCAGGCATTGTTCAGCTTTACTCAGACTCCAGCCTGCTGTATAAGGCTGATAACAGGTCAAATTCAGGTACTTGCGCTACTACATTTAAACAGTACATTTAATGGATGCATTAGTGATTATAAAGGCTGCATTTATTATATTTTACATGTACCTAGAGTTTAACCTTACCCTTTGGGCAATACTGCTGCCTACAGGAGGATTGGACACTGGCAACCCCCCCCCCCCAAACAAAACACTTCAGCATGCCTCAGTTTTTATAGCAAGCAGTTCCAAGAGCATGATCATAAAGAGAAGGTGGGACCTTTCCCTCAATGGACTCCATGAAAATGGTTTTATGGGGAGTACAAAACCCTATTTTTTTTACACGCCCAGTGAGGGGCACAGAAAGTCTCAATCTCTGGGACATTTAACATCAGTTCAACTGAGAGGTGGTTAACACAGATTCTCACAGCCCAAATCACATCCACACAATGGAGTGGCATTTCCTTTCAGAGAACTGGAGCAGCAAAGAGGGACGGAAGAACTATGTTCTGGTTGAGGTGAAAAGGCAGAAAACTACCTCATGCAAGAAGGAAGTCCTGGGCCTCACCACCACCTTGTCCCTACACAAAACCAGAAAGGGATTTGACAGCTTTTAAGCCCCAGACCTTGCTGTTGGACTGAGAGTTAAGCTTCGGGGGTCTCAAGGTGGAGGGTGCAGAAGTGCAAAAAACTGAGAGATTTTGAACAGATAAAGAGGGAGAAAACTTTGCAGTCTGTTCCATAGGCTTCTTTCACAGGGGGGGGGGGGAGAGAGAGAGAGAGAGTGCTCTTGGGGCGATTTATAAATTACGCGGTATCCAGAAAAGAGAGAAGCTTGCGCAATGTAGCATATTAACATAGCCTAGTTCAACCATGTGAAGTACAGCACTTGGACTTTAGTCGAGTGGTAGTCACGTGGACAGAAACATTGATGCTCCATTGCGAGATTGCACCAACGTGCCGTACTGCGCTACAGGTGCATCCTCCACATGTAATTGCTTTGTTAAGATAGGACTCTGCCGGATCCACAATGGGGATAGACCATTTTTTTTACAAAATCCTTGGGGAAAGCACACAGGAAATGCACTGCTGGAAGCAACAGGCTGATCCTTTTGGTTCAGAGTGGTACACACTGCATTGATGACAACCAAAATGGTCTCTCTTAGCTGATGGTTCAGAACTCGCCAAGCCCACAGATAAATCAAATAGAGAATCTGTGGGAAAAGTAGCGAGAGCACACTTGTAGCCTCTGCTGTCAGTCACCAAATAACTGGGTGATCTGGGCTATAGGTCTTGCATGACCGTAGTAGAAACTTCAGCAACAGAGCTAAAGAGAACTCTGATGACGGAATAGACTCTAGGAGCAGCAGCCTCAGAGCCATTAGTAGAAACAGCGCAGAAAATACCCTTTCCAGTGGGACCGTCCAACCGGTGCCTAGAACTAGGCAGCATTATGTTGCCTTACGGCCACGCTGTCACAACCAAGAGTAAGAGGCAAGGCCTCAAGTAAGTTGTGAAACCCAGGCAGCTGGTAGTGGGGGAAGTTTAAAAGGTGACCAGTGACCTATGTAATTTATGTAGCTTATCAGGTCTTTTCTAAAATGGAACTCATTTTAGAACAAGAATGTCATAATACAAGTCAAGCTAATTCATTCTCTATGGAAGTAAAATGAACAAGATGGCTGCCAAATGGCTATACAGAAAGTAATTTCCCACCCTGTAAGGTCAGATGTCAAACACTAAAAACTCTCCTGCATTGTGTGGAGGTTCAAATGAGACCACCTACAGTGGGGCAAAAAAGTATTTAGTTAGCCACCAATTGTGCAAGTTCTCCCACTTAAAAAGATGAGAGAGGCCTGTAATTGGCATCATAGGTAGACCTCAACTATGAGAGACAAAATGAGAAAACAAATCCAGACAAATCACATTGGCTGATTTGGAACAAATTTATTTGCAAATTATGGTGGAAAATAAGTATTTGGTCACCTACAAACAAGCAAGAGTTCTGGCTCTCACAGACCTGTACCTTCTTCTTTAAGAGGCTCCTCTGTCCTGCACTCATTACCTGTATCAATGGCACCTGTTTGAACTTGTTATCAGTATAAAAGACACCTGTCCACAACCTCAAACAGTCACACTCCAAACTCCACTATGGTGAAGGACACCAGAAACAAAAAATTGTAGACCTGCACCAGGCTGGGAAGACTGAATCTGCAATAGGCAAGCAGCTTGGTGTGAACAAATCAACTGTGGGAGCAATAATTAGAAAATGGAAGACATACAAGACTGTTTTACTATGCCATGTATGGAAACGCTCAAAGATCAACAATTCACTGAAACCAACAGGGTCTGGTGAAATGTACTTACTCAGAATACAGCTGATGAAACTTCACTAAGACAAAAGACATTGGGGTCAATTCATAAAGCTTTGTTCACTAATTTTGGCCGTTGTTTATTAGATATTGCACAAGCTATTTAG